AAAGACTAAGTCTTGTCCATAACCGTAACTTTTAAATATAATTCTTGGTCCTAGTGAGTTAATGAAGTTTTTCAATACCACTTCTGTATTGCTCCAAGGTCGTCCACAAATAATACTCTTGCGTCAGATGCTTTTAGGGATTAAATATAAAATAGTGTATCAAGAAATAGGGGTATCGTATCAGTTAACACTTATCAAAGTAACTAAGTGTTTAATAGTCTTAGACGTAATGGTAATACATAATAATATTTAATAGAAGAAATGTAAAGGATAATCTTCTTTTTCACGAATATAAATGGTGTGAACAATATGATAGTCATTAGACCTGACGATGTATAAAATTAAGAAGCGTGTTAATATTGTAGTAGAATAAGAGGCTGAACTTGACTCTTGTGTACAGGTAAATCTGTTGAGTTACTATAGCTTCAGCTGCGCACAAATTTCTGATCCGAACCTTTGAACCAGTTCCTATGACTTGGTAGATAATCTTGAACTTTGATTCACGTGACTATGTGTCATAAATGAATCCCCTGTTTTCCAAGTATATGTTTATTGATGACTTCAAATTGGTATGTAACATTTGATGTTTTGTAATTAGCTTGTAGGGCCAGTGAAATTCCACTCAGCCCTAGCCACTGAATATCGAACAAAATCATCAATCCTCGCCAATGTCAAGGACAACCAACGCGCATCACTTAATCGTACGCCATGGACTGGCCCATGCGGCAGTGGTCTTACCTTCGCTTGTATATACTCTAACTAATATATTTCTGTAATAACGTCCTCTGTGTTGTACAGTCTTCAAAGCATCTATAGTACCTTGATACGTAAATGGGGTAATCTATGTAAGGTGCAGACCGCGAAGTGTGACTTCAACGTTAGCTAGTTTGTCACACAACTCACGTCTAACTCGAGTAAGCCTCCAATCATTTCGACATAGATCATCCACGCTGGTGATGTACAAGCTTTTACATACTTACATCGAAAATTCTTCATTGTTCGTGTCAGCCAGGTACATCTGATAAAACTGTTTATCCAATTCCAAGTACTCATATAAAAGTAGTTTGATTTCTGTAGAATCTAAGTTATCATATGTATGAAGATGGATTGTAACTATGAGGAATATCTAGGACTTGCAATCAGTGTCAATGTTTACTTCGGGGCTCAGTACTAGTTCGTTTATCAGCGAACTCAGAACGCGCTATCCACAAAACTACTAAATCCAGATAGTGATTAACTTATGAAACAAGTTTGAGAAGGCCTGAGTTATGCCGTTGTTTGGTATTCATGACTTACTTTTGATTAGTTTTAGTCATCATAAATAGAATGTGTGGATTGTTTCAAATCAAACATTATAAGTTTCTAAAGTAGAGATGGATCATGCCCAGCAGTGGGAACTAGGATGCGCGTATCATCATATCTTGAACACAACGGTCATATCGAGTTCATACGCACATACCACCTAAGACTGTTTGAAATTCATTCAGGAATATCAACAACATAATCAATCAAACTTGAGTAAACGTTGTATTAATTTGAATTCGTGTTAACTAGATCCCAATCAGTTTTGTATAGTATGAATGATGTTAAAGTTGATTATTTTGTGATCATACCGTTCATCATTAAACGCTACATCACAATCAACTCCAATTGATTGTCGTAATCATTTCGATTTACAGATTCTCAAGATAAAAATGAAATAGTTGAATGTTAAAAACTTAGTGAATAATTAAAATTCTTTAGTCTATGATTTTCTGAATGCTTTAAGGTCATTTGTTTAAACACTGTTATGGAATATCGTGTAAACTGTTCAAGTTTATAAATCTGATTAGCACGTTGTGTCTATTGAAGTTAACAAGATCAGAATCAACGTAAATTTTATAGTTGAATTCATGAGTCTGTAGTGACCTACTTTTGTCAACAGGATGCGATTGGATCAATTAAAACAATTATTATTATAATCAATTGTACCAGTGTTTGTTTAACTATGCTAATGACAGCCATTGCAATTACTCTCCCGTTGCCTTTGAACTTGTACGAATCCGGTTAAGTTTAGTAACCACGCTTGTACTCCTTTGGCACGATCTCGGTATTCTTTCTATACCACGAGATCGCCAACAAATATATCTCGACTACAGCCATCATCTGTCTTATGATATTGGCCTACGGAAACTTTATTGGTTTACTGGCACGTAGTCTTGTAGCGGTGTTCATAATCAAGCGCGATTTGACTCCACGCTACAAGTCAACTGCAGCTAGATCATCATTTTAGCTTACGTCAATTCGTGATGAAAATAATAAATCTAATCCCTAAAATTAACCATCAACTCTAAATAATAAGTCTAATTGCTCACACTGGTTTATAACACTCATTTGGTCCTACTTATTAGGTGAGCGATTTCAAGGTCACTGTAGCACCGCTCAAAGGTCGTCCATAAATTATAATCTGACCGTATTTGAATTAATATCCTACTCAAAATGTCTTCACAGTTGACAGGAATGACAAGATAGGTACAGTCAGCATAGATAATTAAACTCGCTTTTATGGACGCCAATGAGATCAAAGCAAGATTTCTACATTACAACCGGTCTGTGTGTGATTTTTATATGAACCAATGATTCTTTTGTATTTAGCGATAGCCTGATTTCGAATTCTAAATCCAATAAACTCATTTGTGTCCTGCCATTTCTATTTGTTGTGAGTTGCACTATTTTGGGTATTCCTGGTTTGTACACTAATTAAATACTTCTAATTATCACATTAGCGTTGTGATCAAGCCTGTGATATAACAGTTGGACATACACTGAAATTATGAAGCTTTTGGCGATTATATAGAAGGGTTCAAAATCTGGGCTATGATCAAGGAAGATGTTGAGGATATTACTATTACCGCTTACTTCCTCACATTAATCAGAAAAGAAGCCTAAAGCTTATTTAAAACTTTGGCATTCCTAGAAAAGCCTATTTCACTTCCTTAGTCAACTCTCAATGAACTACTACTAGACTATATGAAGTGTACAAATTTTGGATGCTGTAAAGGAGGAATATTACAAAAAAATGGCTCGTCGGGCTATCATGCATTTCACTACATCATTACGTCTTTTCAATTCAATGCATATTCAAGGTTTTGCAGATAACAATTCGTTGAGGATTTGTGATGCAGTTCAGGAACCTGAGCACAATTTTAGTAAATGTCCGTTCTGCAGAGAATTTCATGTGTATTTTGTAATTCTAAATGCTCTAATTGTGGTAAAATTGGACACACACAGGCAGTTTGTGATACTGCTTCTCATTTTGAATCAAGTAATGCTGAACTTTGCAATTCCGATCCTGTTAGGTTGAATGTTTCACCTGAATCATACTCTGAGTAGATTCATAATATTATTTTACCCGTTATGCCTTGCTCCATCGATTCATGTATTTCTAATGAAATTATTGACAAGTATGTGGAAGATATATCGAGTGCACCGGATCCTGACAAGATTTCTGTTATCTTATCAGATGTGGTTCATCACACTACAGATGTATAGCAGACGGTTATGTTCACCCGCTACGGTTGCTGCTAATGCATGCCGACTGAGAAGACTCCCGAAGTGTTTTTCATGTCAAATAGTTTAGGGCTCGGGACACTTCATGTTTTTCTGCAATTCCAGGGAGATGTTCCATACTTATTATGATGCCAGTATCAACCATGGTTGTCTATCCCTCGTGACCTAGAGACAGATCTTTTTTGTGCAGCATGGATGCGTCTACAGTTATGAAGAAGAGCAAGGTAACGTGTCAAAGTATGGCAGACTTCTGTGACGTTGTCTCGTGTCGTTTGAGGCTTTTTTTGGCTGAACAGACCACGATGCTAGGAGTTCTGGTGATCTCCAGATGTAACCAGACTTTTTACAACGCTATTTAAAAATGAGACACAAAAATTAGTCTAAACAGGCCCTTGTCAAAAATCTGTTGATCGATTTCATGTCTGTTTTAGAGCCCTGTTGCAGCTTAGTGCTGATAAAGGGTAGGTCTAAACTTCGTCGGTCGGTTGAATCACCATTTTTACGAATAGTCTTCTTCCGAAACATCATTGTTAAACCTACTAGATGTGACGTACTTGTTGCAATCTTGTAGTTGTGCCCAGACTACTGAGAGGAATTGTACACTTGGGCCTGAAACGTCATGATCGTGGAAGTCAGCTTCTGTGTAGCCAAAGCAGGCTTTGATGTTCTCGGACCAGAATAGCACTAGCTGAAATGGGAGTGACGTAAGAGACTTGATCTTGAATATATATATATATATATATATATATATGTCTATAGGTATTTCGAAGGAACGTTGGGTCGGAGATGGCTAATATTTAGAAGGGATCTGTAGCATGACGTACCCACTAGTCATCGAGTACCTTCATTTGAGTCAGTCCATTAAAACTAATGTATTCAGAATCATATGTCAAAAACCTACAGAATTATTTATTCACCGCTACATGTTATTGCCGAAATATATTAGTATTAGTAGGTACAAGAAATATAGTTCGACCGCAGCCCAATGAGTCAGTTTGTGACGTGTAATTACATAATACGCACTGATTGTCTTTTAATTTGAAAAAGGTCGGTAAACTGTTAGATGTTCAGTGATCCAACTGCTCGATGATATATCTATGGCCCAGTGACATTTCGTAGGCCGTACAAGATAGAATGCCAGATAGTAGAATACTTTCTTGCAATATGCATAGCCTAGGATTGATGATTTCCAATTCCTCAATACACAGCATTATCTTTATCCTTATCTGCCTTTAAAAAGCTCAGTAAAAGAGTAAATCATTTATATTAAAGTTAGTTATTCGATTCACACGGAATACGAGGATCTAGGACTGCAACAAAAACAACACCTTGGGTTTCCTGAAGCCATTTATTATTCAATGGCTTGTTAATAGTAATTACTGATACTGTCCTCGTACATATCTACATGTGGTGTTAAACATTAAAACTAATATATCCAAAACCGCTTTTATAATGGTGGGAGGTTTACATCTCAAGGTCGTCCGACAAACTTTATACATGTAAATAGTTCCTCCAATTTCGCTTCTTACTATAATTTGATCATTTTTTCCCAGCAACTAATTTATTGTTTTACTCTTAACTGTCCCTTTTAATCTCGTACACTTTTCTGTAATGCCAATTTTAGAATAACGTGAAATTTTAAACGTTTACCCCAGCAACTGAAGGAGTGGAAATAAAAACGAACAAGGGGTAAATAAGGGGAACATTCCCTGATAAAATTAAGCAGAAATAAAGAGGGATTGCTACGTTTTTGACTCAACTGACTACAGCTTCATTTCTTTGAAGTAATCAATCTTCATTTATATCAGCGTTCAGGAATATAAATGCATATCTAATGTCTTCAGTCAGAGAGTTAAAGTAAGTAAATTTCTCGTTTTACTGGACTCACTAATACTGGTCTAATTGCGTTCATTCATGAACTTTCCGTGCTAAGTAGACTTAATCATTTTCATTCCAACGAACTGTCTTGTACGTGGAGTCGTATTCAAGGATCCCCGCTAGTTGGTGTGCATCTAAAATTATAATCGTTCGATTGTTAACTGGGGCTCTAAAACAACAAATCATCTTCGTTCCTAACCTGGGATGAAGTTTTTCTAATCATTATTTTCTATACATCTTGTGTGCGCATCGAGGTCATACTTTATTCTTGATTTACGTATCATAGTTCACTTAGTGGATTTTTCCATCACCAAGTAGAGTGAAAAAGTGAGCATTTCGCTCCTGAATATATTGCTCTGATTCTTAGGACAACACAGATGCTCACGGATGAGATCTATCAGGAATTTCCAGTTCGTCTTTTACTAAAATTTAGCATGTTTATTTACCTATAATTCATAACCTTATGAAACGTTGTCAACATTCGATATTATCCGAGTTATTTATGAGTTCAACAATAGTATTTATCTTGGCTTATAAGTTGTAATTTCCACATTTAATTTATGCTTAATGTGTGGAAATGTTCTTTACCATTTTACTATAGAGAATCACCTGTGGCCTCAGCTCAAGCGTATGTTTTACAGTTTAACACTGAAGACCGAATATGGCTACCAAGTGGTGGAACACGCTCACTTTCATGGGTTCAAATTTTACAACAAAAAGGTTTAGATGCTTATCGTATCGTAGGATGGCGTCAGCCAGATAATCAGGTAGGTAGTTTATTTTGCGGCATTAAGATACTTTTTGAATATTAAAAGGAGAAAAATGAAATGATACTAACATTTCCTACCATGTATATTCGTCTTTTTGTTTTGCGTTACGTATTTGCGTAGCAATGTTTTTTAAAATATTCTGGTTGTAAAAACTTCGGCTTATTTTATGTAATACGCCTGATTTATCGCGCATAACGCGATTCAAAGCTTTCATTTTTCGGCGAGATAATCTTGTGACATGAAATCAAAGGAAACTAGTTACAACACGCGTTTTCATAATTTAAGTTTATTGCAACAAACATGTAAAAAGAATGAAGTCTCAGTGAAGGAATTTTTCGATGATATCACTTTCTGAAGCTATACAATCGTATTTATGGGTAATTTCTACATGTAGTGGTCTACAGTAAAATAAAGGGGTTTACAAAATTATCAAAGACAGTCAAGCTTATTCAATGGAGGTCAATCAAAATGTAAAAATTTACCCATAAATGCGACTGTATAGCTTCAGAAACTGATATAATCGAAAATTCTCTTCGCTGAAACTTCGTTCTTTTCAGTAAATCAATAGAATTATTTCGTCTCTTGTACATGCATGTAGTTTAAAATCACTGCTGTCAAAGCGCTAGGGTGTTTAGACTCAGGATTGCTTGCCAAACACTAGTGTATTTACCTTGTTGTAAGCCCCACTTCGTAAAATAAATGTAAGTGAAGCATACTACAAATATTGTCAATGCACAGTTCATTAAAATGAATATGAAGTTTATGGCTTGGAATAACCAAACAGATAAATTGTTGGTATATTTACAGGCATTTCAGTCAAGAATATGCCAATATCCTGTCTCATTATCAACATCTCAAAATTGTTTATGATATCTATATTGCTAATAGTTACTTGGAACCAATTTCTTGACAAAAACGGCACGAGAATGACCTTGCAGATAAGAAACCCAATCTTAAACTACATCAATGCATATATACTTAAACTCAAGTGAGATTCTGAAAGGAATATGACTATACAAATAAGATCAAATTGTATAACCAATATTTCAAACTATTTTCCATGAATAGTCTACGTTAGCGTTTGAGATTAATTCAATACTGCTAAAAGTGTGCTGAAGATTGAAGTTTTATTATTTGATACCGTAAAATATTGGATGACATTTTCCACCGCGATAAGAAATCGGTGATGGGCGTGCCTTTCTGGACCTAATATTTTCTACACATTACTTTTACCTGAAAAAACGTCATTTTTGGAGACAGTCGGTACCACGTAAAGCATGAGTGCCGTCACAGTCAACAGTAAGACCTCTGTCTCGGATATTACATTTGCTCCTGATGATCTTAACACCCCAAACCTACCTCCCTGTTAAGACTGGACCTAAAGCAATAAATATTCCGCCAAAAATAACCGCATTAGTTAATCATGATAAACAATTTCAACCAAAGCATTGAGATATCAGTTACATTTGAAATCTCCTGAGTAATAATTTATCATTAAGATAGATGGAAACTATTGATTTGGAGATCACAATCACACAAATTTACACTAATCAGTCAATTAGTGGTAGTCCATATGGTTTCGCTTCGACCTTAGTGATGATTAAATTCTGTTGACAAAATCCGTATTGCAACCGCTGGGCAGATTAAGTGACTTAGCATTGTTTCTTAATGATTGTTTGCAATAATATCATACAAGTTTACAACGTCAAAATGATATCAATTGTTTTTCCCCCGAGGACTTTCTACTAATTCTCCCATTTTTGTTTGTCTTTATGAATAACGTGGCATTTCTCTTTTGTACAGCTAGTATTATTTTCATTTATGTTACCTATTAATTCCGTGATGTTCATACAAGTTTAGTGGTATGGTGAAAAATAACTTGTAAAGGTATTAAGCGTTCAGATTTCAGTTTAATATTAAAAGCCGCATTTCACTTACTTTACGTGGTAGCGTTGGAAACTGGTAGTTCGACTTTATCTACTAAACTACGGATCTAAAACTCCTTTTGGCTTTTAACGAATGTTGTGTGCATTTTATTTCGTTACATGCTCGCTTTTTAAAGTTACTTCAAATTATAGTAACAAATATTTGTACAATTCGAACTCTTGTAGTGAAACTATGGCTTTGTACTTAAATATTAGGTCTGAGGTTTAAATAGCGCTACACCTAGTGTTGTTTGATCAACTTTTGGGGATGTGAAGCTCCTGAATACAACTTGTGAGAAAAAACCCACTATCTATTTTAGCTGAATGTGAGATCAACTTTCAATACATTTTCACGATATTACTTTATAGGATCTCAATGCATTTTCATTGTAATTCATGTTTAGTAATAGTTACTCTTCATAACTTGTAATCATTAAAGCCAATAATGTAGCCCATTAACTTATATGTATTTTTAATTCTTCTGGGGTCATCATCGACAAAGCTTTAATTACGAAACTGGATGTCATACTCTGGTCGGCAGGACAGTGAAAATAGAAGTAGTTTCGTTCACTATATTGAGGTGGGAGTTGCGAAATAGTGTTTTGGTGCACAAACATATCACCATCGGAGTAATATCCTTAGTTCCTATCCAAACAGTATGACTCATAACTGAGTACGTAAACCTGAGCTTCACTGCATCAGTTGCTTGGTGTTTCATAATGAGCTCCTAAGTTTATCATGTGAATGGTGCTTATAATACGATCGTGCACCTAGTGATCTTGTGTGTTTGATAGTGGGTTCACATTTTTTGAATAGTTGTAAGGTAGAAAAGAAGTTGTTTATCGCTCCCTAAACTTGTTAATGGTTCTTCAATCGATAATATCCTATAATAAAAATAATCCCATTTTAATGGAGTTCAATTCAGAATTATACAGTTAGTACCAAGTAAAATGTTAGATTTCACAAATTTTATTACTTTTTTGTTTTTTTCATCACCATCTTGTATTTATCACTTTTTTTAATGTTTGATGTGTACATATGTACTTTAATATTTATTCAAATGTACAACGAATAGTAATTGTTGCTAACAAACAATCTTTTAAACTTAACTATTTGTGCTAGAATACTATCACCAAATAGTGATTATCATCAAGCTCATTACATAATACCGTTTTACTTTTAAGTAAATAATTAAGAATAGTAGGACCAGGTTATAGGTTGCAATAAAACAGGTAATATTCGGTTGTTAGGATGCAGTCATGAACCATAAATAATATTGTAGTGAACGAGAACACAAGTGGGGACAACCAAATGTATTTCAACACAAAATTACAAAATCTCTTAGTAAAATCGGAGAACCATACAGCAAACTCTTCATTTGCGAAATGTCAGTCAATCGTCTCAGACTTCACTGTTTCTTCATCTCTACATCAGTCATTCACTGTTCATGTTCTCTTATCTTCGATCTTAACCTTCTGCTGCCAGGTATTTCACTTTCGATCGATGACGCATACTACTTATACCTACCGACATCAGTAGCACACCTCACAATATTATTCAAACTAAACAAAAACAGGATGGCAACACATATCAAAAAATCTGTTAAAATGATGATAACAACGAAGTACAAGCATGAAATCATGTTGAAACGTTTAATTAGATATTAATCACATAAAAATGTGGTTACTTAGTATTTATGATAATAAAACTGGTCTGACATGACAAACTGATCTTGTAAATATAGGGGTCTATAACAGTGACAACGAAATAACATTCAGATGTAAGAATGTCCATTTCTATGCATGAATGGAAATCATTGTGCTCTGTTGACTCAATCACAGGTTGGACTTACCAAAATACAAAATATCTGAGTCAAAAATCTGAACACACTACTCACAAAAATCAAATATTGTTCGAAAAGAATTCATCATAGATTCAAGTTTCAGTTTTTTCAAGCATTGGTACAAAAAGGTCGATATAAAAGTTTGAAGTCACTGCCAATTCAAATCGCAATCAAAATTTTCTAAGAATTCTTCGATCTAAAGTTCAGAGTTTCCATTTGTGGTTTTTCAATGTGTAACTGAGTTAACAGCATATACACCAAATTTATTCCCTCAAACCACACACCAAACAATTTCACAAGAAGCAGTAAAGTCTTCAGGTAAAACATTAAACCACTCCGGATACTCATTAAAAATTAAATTGTGTGTTAAGTGTTCAGTTTCTTCTTGGTATTCAGGCAATCATAGTGGAATGTCCTACATTTTATGTCCATGAGGCGGTTGCAGTCTGTAAAAGGAACAAAACAATAATTTCCAGTGAAATCGAAGATTTCATGAAGCAAGTCAAAATAATACATTTCCACTATTGTTCTAATAGAAGGGTCTTACATCATTTCTTGAGTCATGTGATATGACAGACAAGAATTAACGTTGAAAATCAGGTCTTAATTAGTTGGGAAGTGGATAATCTACAAGCTAATTTTCTCCAATCTCCGATGACGTTTTGTCATGTTTATTTGTGTTCATATTTCGCTTATAAGCATGTTATTTGATTATATAAAAAATCTGTTATGGTTAGTGTTCTTGTCTTTGATCTCATATCATTCATCAACAATACAGCCTCGGTAACGGTCACTACTCAGCCTCAGCATATCATCGCAACAGCATCATCTATCGACCAACTTTATTTCTTATATTTTAACAGTCAACAATTCGCTTCATCAGAAATCGTAAAATCCTAATAAGTGACAGGTTTCAAGTCGTAAGCTTTCTTTTTTACTATGTAAAGCATTTGACCCAGAGAGTATATGATCTGGTAAACAACTAATGTCTAATCTAACTTTGAATTATCTTCTAGTTGCATTTGGTTTAGTTCAGTCCTTCTATGTCACCAGATGTGTCCACTTTCCAGGAAGAGTGGATGGACATCCTAGTAGACCTGAACAGATCAACCTGTCAATCTGAAATAATCAAACCAAAAGTGTTGAATCCATTCTAAAGCATCTAGTTCTAAAGGCATGTTAGGTGAAGTTCTGGATAATATATTATTACTCTACCAGATAACACTAAA